TAAAATACGCATGATTATGTATTTTACAATATGATATACAGTCGAAACTGGATATGTGAGAACTGGGTAAGCGAGGAAACTCTATTAATGAGAGTATTTACCAGGTCCCGTCATTTTGCCCTTCTAAAGCCTCTTTAAGTGAGAAACATAAAACCTGTATAAGTGACAGTCATTTTTCAAGCGTGAACCTCTTTAAGTGAGATTTATACTTGTCTATACCTCTATAAGCGACAGTTTACTTTTGCTATTTTATGACTCGTTCTTAAATTTCAAGACTCTTATTTCATTCGAATGGTCAAATCTGCGAATGACCGAGTAAGTCTTTATTATTTTATTATAGCCACATGTGCGTACCGACTTGTTTATCAATCTTATTACAGTCAGTTCATAAAAGCAGTTGCTAAGAAAGGTCCTGTACTTCCTCATAATGTCTAAACGAAAACTCAATGTGTTGAACCGTATTTTTATATACCTCTATAAGTGAGACAAATTCCTCCAGTACCTCTGTAAGCTAGAAACTCGGGTTAGTGAGAAACCTCTATAAGAGAGAAACAGATCGCGGTCCCTTGAACTCTCACTTATCCAGGTTCGATGTATATGTAGGTGTAGGTAAATGACAAATGATTCATCATCATTACATCTTTTCCATTTTTCCGATCTTGAATTAAACATTGCATTTCTAGAAAGCTAATACTACTCTAACTAGAGTAGTTTCAGTTTAATTTTACCGGTTTTGGATTATAATGCCAAAATTGTAAATCTTTTACTTTACTATTTATTACTGGAATAATAAATCTACCAACCCCGTACATCTACCACAAGGAAGAGAACCCTTATCTTTCTCGGCTAGCCGTAGGGAATGAACACTGTAGATACCTCATAAAATTTGTGCATCTTTCTCTCTATTTAAACAGTTTGTACAGTGTGTTTCACTTTTATTATTTGCCAACGTCACTAATTTAATTAAGATTCGCGAAGATATCGGTAGTGTAATAATAAAGGAGAGATAAACTCGGTAAACTATTTAAATAGAGAGAAAGATGCACACATTTTATAAAGTACGAGGGTGGATTGATAAGTTTCCGGCCTAACCAAGAGATGACGCCACTAGGCCTACCTTGAGGTGACATTCTATAGTACCATCCTTGGATAGCTTGTAGCTATAGTTTCAGCCCGATCTCCTTGCTAGTGTAGGTTTGACAGCACGCTGAACAAGACGCCTCTGTGGTTTTCGTAAAAATGGAAAAGCAGGAAAATCGTGCTGTCATCAAATACTTTTATTTGAAGGGGTTAACGCCGAAGGAAATTAAAAAAGAGATGGACTCAACACTGGGGACATCCTCCCCGTCATATTCAACCGTTAAGCAGTGGGTTTCCGAGTTTAAAAAGGGTCGTGTGAGCACCTCTGATGGGCCTCGCTCAGGACGCCCCGTTGAGGTCACAACTCCAGATATGATCGAAAAAATTCATCAAATAGTGCTGGGAGACCGCAGATTGAAAGTGCGTGAGATAGCTGAGACCTGTAAGATGTCATATGAACGTGTGCAACATATTTTGCACCAACATTTGCATATGGAAAAGCTCTGTGCAAGATGGGTGCCGCGTTTGCTAACAGTCGACCAAAAATTGATTCGAAAAAACATTTCTACCGCAAATTTGTCATTGTATAAGCGTAATCCAAGCGAATTTTTGCGTCGATTCGTAACCGTTGACGAAACGTGGGTCCACCACTACACTCCTGAAACCAAAGAACAGTCTAAACAGTGGATTGGACCAGGGGAACCAACTCCAAAGAAGGCAAAAACAATTTTTTCGGCGAACAAGGTTATGGCTACTGTTTTTTGGGATGCAAGAGGTATTATATACATTGATTACCTTGCAAAGGGTAATACTATCACTGGTCAATACTACGCAGACTTATTGCAACGTTTGAGCCACGAGGTGAAAATTAAACGACCTCATCTGGCGAAGAAAAAAATCTTGTTTCATCACGATAACGCACCAGCGCACACGTCAATCGTTGCGACGGCTAAAATCAACGATCTAAAGTTTGAATTGATGCCGCACCCTCCTTACTCTCCAGACCTAGCCCCGAGTGACTATTTTCTGTTCCCTAATCTCAAAAAATGGCTTGGCGGTAAGAGATTTGCGGACAATGAAGAAGTAATCGAAGCTGTAAATGGTTATTTTGAGGAGCTTGACGAATCAGTCTATAGAGATGGCATTAATAGACTGGAACACCGCTATGAGAAATGTATCAGCCTTGGAGGAGATTATGTTGAGAAATAAAAAAAAAAAATTTTTAAAAACCTTGTTTTTCTTGGTCAGGCCGGAAACTTATCAATCCACCCTCGTACTTGCAGTGTTCGTTGCCTGCGACTAACCGAGAAAGATAAGGGTATCATTCTCTTCCTTGTAGTAGATATATGGATTAGCAGATTTATTGTTGCAGTAATAAATAATAAAGTAAATGATTAACAATTTTGAATTTACAAACCAAAACCTTTCTTACTCCTTAAACATCGAAAATCGGCTACTTTTTAGCGAAACACGAAAGATAAGGGTATCATTCTCTTCCTTGTAGTAGATATATGGATTAGCAGATTTATTGTGCCAGTAATAAATAATAAAGTAAATGATTTACAATTTTGACTTTATAATCTAAAATCGGCAAAATTAAACTGAAGCGACTATAGAAACTTTATTTAGCGTATTACGAAATTATATAAAATATGTATTACGAACCTGTAAGTCATTGTCCAGTTGTAAAATACATTTGCATAATTAAGGTTTGCCTTTCTCATAGTTTTAGTTATAGTAATGTATTACATCTTACCATAATTTTATTTTTTAATTTACGACAGAAACCATGGTACTCATTATTCTACAGATTTTGTGGCAATATATTGAGGTCTAAAATAATGCAGAGTTCTTGGCGATATCACCGCATAATCACCATTTACCTATCGAAAAGATAGATAACCGAATTCAATATTGATTTTTTATGAAACGACGACAAAATAACAGGCTAAAGCGTACCTTTCATGCGTATATTATGGAGATCGAAAGTTTTCCATTCTTTAATAGGTAAATTTCTCTTACAATTAGAATATTGTTTCCTAATTTTTTATAAAGAAAATAAACACTTATGATAAGGTGATAAGATTTAAGAGTAACAGTTGCTAGGTACGTACATGAGTTATTCTTAAAAATGATTCTAAATATCTCATTAAGTTGTCTTCAAATTACATGTATTTAATCCATAACTATTTAATGAAATATATACAAAANGGCTGTTCTAGTTTTAGGGAAATGCGAAGTTTAGCTCAGGATAGGAAAGAGTGGAGGTACGTGTCCAACCAGTCTTAGGACTGATGACCTTATGATGATGATGAGTTTCTAAAGGGTCTGGAAACCGCTTCATTTCAGCACGCCAACGACTACTCTTATCACTGAGCTATATATGTATGAAATGGGAATTCTTTTGTTTCTTTTTTTGTATTTTACTATTAATTTTTTAATTCAATTCCAATGAGAAGAAATTTATTTGATAAAAAGATTAACCAGAGACTTAAATGATGTAATCTTAACAGATGCGTGATTGTTTATTTCGTCATCTTGACATCGTAAGTCACCGAGTAGGTACTTCAAATTGAAAAGGATTGGAAATATAAAGGCGAACGTTAAATTCCAAATTATGAAATTAATAAAATTCGAATTTTGAACATATTTGATATTAAGAGTTACCTACAGAAAAAAGTCGAATTCCAACACTGGCGAAATGATTAGAAAAATGTAATTGAAAAAACAATTATATTATTACATTTGTAATTACGACTTCAATTTGCTTCATATTTTCCTCGAAAATATGAGCCCTGTATATGTACATATAATAAGTACTTAGACATAGATCATAATACAATAATAAGCAATTTGCGTTTTATAGTAATTTTTGTACACAATACTACATGGTGCTCGAAATAACAAGGTTATATCAAGAAATCTTATAATAAGAACCCGACATTTCGAAACAATGAGTACAAAGACACCACGTTACCGTTACACAGTCATGATCCAAGATCCAAGCCTTACTAAATATCACCTTGAGACCATGTAACTTTCACTGACTTAAGTTCGAATTGGAAAAGAGAATGGACTCGTATAAGATCAACGTAGGCATTATGATACAAGTTGGCTAGAACTTACTACGTAAAACAATTTAGAACATCAAATACGTAATATTTTTGCGGTTTTTAATTTTCACGACTCTTCATAAAAGATTAGAGAAGATGCTATAGTAGTTGGAATCGTTTATATTCAAATATTTGTTTACATTTTCATTTGAATGTAGTACGATGCTACATTTTAGGATTACGTATGCTCCAACAAGGTCCATTTAAATATATGGATATCTACTTGCTGAAACGAATCCCGGCGTAATCAACCTCAACGTGATAGGCACGTCCTAAAATGTAGCATCGTAGCACAGATGGCGTTCACCACGCCATTTGTGGTATTTTCTAAAACGTGCTGTTAAGACAGCAGGTAAAAGTTGGCCTGTGTTCTGTCGGAGCTGTCTGCGACGCGCTGATGAGATCCAAACAGATCGAAATCGCGACCCGCGTATGGCAGTTTCGACATTTCGAATTATTTTATTCAATATTGAAACTGTTTAAACTGCACCCTTGTGAGGCCTACCAAATGAATTTGCTTAAGGTAATATTTTATCTGGGATGCTTTAAAAGCAACGTGTAGGCGTCCATGTATTGAACATAAAATTTTTAATGGAATTGCACCTATTTCGTAAATGTTTTTTTTTTGGATTTTATTGATCCATAAAACAATAAACCACATTTTAATTAGTCGTTAAACGGTAGCAATAACCTTATATAGTAATTTAGTACAATGCTGCCACCGTTTATTGCGTTTAGAATAATTACAACGCTTTGTATAAAACAATAGCCACTAACCACTAGATTGAATTGTGTGTTGGTACTTACCAAGCAAAAATCACCGTGTATCGTTCTGGCTAATGGCATGTATTAAAGCCGGAACCTGAAAAAGATTAATTCAATATTTTTAATTGCATAATAGGTCGTCGGGTGTTATTACATTAGCGTAATGTATGAGGTTAACAAATTAGTGGTACAAAATACTGTTCTGTTAAGTGACTGTTTGGTTTCCTGATATAATTGACCTAGAAACTAATACTATTTTTATTATTCTTATTATTGTTATGGTTTTTAAAATTTCTTAAAATATTTATGTATTGCATTCCTTTGGATTGTTTTTATTATTTAGTTCTCATTCAATCAGATATTGATCTTAAGTTGCTCCTGCGATAAAAGTAAGGTTATAGGGTAGGCTAATATAATTGTAAGGTTATAGGGTAGGCCAATACAAAAGTAAGGTTATAGGGTAGGCTAATATAAAAGTAAGGTTATAAGGTAGGCTAATATAAAAGTAAGGTTATAAGGTAGACTAATATAAAAGTAAGGTTATAGGGTAGACTAATATAAAAGTAAGGTTATAGGGTAGGCTAATATAAAAGTAAGGTTATAGGGTACACTAATATAAAAGTAAGGTTATATGGTAATATAAAAGTAGACGGAAAGCCTAGTTTCAATACAGTCTTCGTCTTCCGAAATTAACCCACAAACGCATTGTTACGTGGAGGCAAACCCCCGTACATGAAGTAGCGTTAAGGGTGGCCTAGTGAATTGATGATAGTATAACAAAGAAAACCAGAATTCTCTGGAACCTGAATTTTGGAATGGAATCTTTCTAAAACAAATCCATACATGGCTCTACTAGTATCAAATCCATATGATTTTTAATTAACCCTAACCTTCAAAAGACACTTATATAAATTTGACAGCTGTTGCACTATTAGTATCTGAGTTATAGCATTTTTAGTGAAAGAACTTTTGTTGTTTGAAAAAGAAAGTGCTGTTTCATCAAGACGATGCACCGTGTCACAAATCAATGAAATCGATGGCAAAATTCCATGAATCGGGCTTCGAACTGCTTCCGCATCCACCGTACTCTCCAGATCTGGCCCCCAGCGACTTTTTTCTATTCTTAGATCTTAAGAGGATGCTCGCTGGACAGAAATTTCGCGCCGATAAAGTGGTAATCGCCGAAACTGAAGCCTATTTTGAGGGTAAAGACAAATCGTATTATAAAAATGGTATCGAAAAATTGTATGATCGCTATAATCGTTGTATTGCCCTCGAAAAGAACTATATTGATTAATAAAATCAAATTCTAGTGAATAATTTGAAAAATAAATTAATTAGATTAAAATACGAGAAGTGTCTGATTACACGATAGTACATACCTACTAAAAATTCTCGGCCATCAGAAAGCGTTAATCCTGCTTTTATGTTCCTCTTATGAAAAGAAGACAATGCAACACCTTTGATAAACGATCCGGTCGCATTCTGATGTAACGCCGCTTTAACGTGTCTTACTTTTATTCACTTTTTTTTTGGTACTGTAAGCCGTATCGTTACAAAACAACAAGAACAATAATACATTACTCTCTTATTACGTTTGCATTTCGCCGTTTGTAATGAGTTATTATTCATTGTCCCCGTCATAGTGGTGGGTCTCCATATGCGCGCAACTGCTAAGCAACAACTCCTTAAAGACAATGTCGTGCCAGCAGTATCATCTTTCATCTTTGAACGAAACACTTTTCTTACTTCCCGTATTTCATAACTTTTTTGCGTAGATGCTTGTCGCCGTTATTTAACTAAGCGGTTGGTAGGAATGCTTATCGGAAAAAATTTACTTACATACCTATATCGCAAAGGCAATAGAACAATGGATAACGTAGGGTCATGTCGTTTGTAACAAAATTTTCATTATCTTCTTGATCGGCATTGTCTTAACAGTACATGAACTCTCTCCGGTAAAAAAAACACTTTTACTGGACAAAAACGTCAACGTTTCGCCCTTTCATCGAATTTCCACGAAAAACTTCTTAATGTTAATCAAAAAGTTGGAGTTTTTGTCTAATAACAGTGATTTTTTCAACTGAAAGACTTTAAATATTGACAATAAATGCGATACGCATTCTATAAATTTCATTACTGAAATTGTTATTTAATAATAAAATATAAACATCAAATATTAATGTGAAAATTCACTTTCCGTTTATACCAACTATAAATTAAATAAATGACTTCTGTCATTCGATTATTACCAATGATTTGGGCATGAAACGGGTCGCTGCGAAATTCATACCAAAACTGCTCCATTTCTACCAAAAACAGCAACAGATTAACATTGCTAAGGAGTTGTTGGACTCTGTCCGCGACGACCCAAATTCGTTCCAGAGAGTCACAACTGGTGACGAATCTTGGGTTTATGGTTATGACGTGGAAACCAAAGATCAATCATACTAATGGAAGCTGCCGCACTAGCCAAGACCGACAAAAGCGCGCCAGGTTAGGTCGAATGTGAAGGTTTTGCTTCCTGGTTTCTTCGATTGAAGAGTCGTGGAACGGTCAATAAGGAATATAATTTGCAGGTTATGCGCAATTTGCGCGAAGCAATCCGCCATAAACGCCAAGATTTGTGGAAAAACAAAAATTATCTTTTGCACCATGATAACGCCCCTGCTCACAACATAGTTGCTTTTGAATTTTTGGCCAAAAACAACACTAATAATAATGCCGCAAGCGCCGTATTTCCTAGATCTAACTTTTTCTTGTTCCCGAAACTGAAAAGGATCATGAAAGGCCGACGCTACTCTACGATTGAGGAGATAAAGACGGCATCGAAAGAGGAACTGAACAAGATCACAAGAAATGATTTTTTGATGTGCTTCCAGGATTGGAAAAAACCTTGGCATGAGTGTATAATATCTGGGGGGGGGGGTTACTTACAAGGGTACAAAATAGATATTTATAAACAAATAAATAATTTTTGAAAAAACACAGACCTCAGACCTCGCATACAACCCTCTGCGCGGTTTTGAATCTGGTAACAGCCAATACGAGGGTGGATTGATAAGTTTCCGGTCTGACCAAGAAAAACAAGGTTTTTAAAAATTTTTTTTTTTTATTTCTCAACATAATCTCCTCCAAGGCTGATACATTTCTCATAGCGGTGTTCCAGTCTATTAATGCCATCTCTATAGACTGATTCGTCAAGCTCCTCAAAATAACCATTTACAGCTTCGATTACTTCTTCATTGTCCGCAAATCTCTTACCGCCAAGCCATTTTTTGAGATTAGGGAACAGAAAATAGTCACTCGGGGCTAGGTCTGGAGAGTAAGGAGGGTGCGGCATCAATTCAAACTTTAGATCGTTGATTTTAGCCGTCGCAACGATTGACGTGTGCGCTGGTGCGTTATCGTGATGAAACAAGATTTTTTTCTTCGCCAGATGAGGTCGTTTAATTTTCACCTCGTGGCTCAAACGTTGCAATAAGTCTGCGTAGTATTGACCAGTGATAGTATTACCCTTTGCAAGGTAATCAATGTATATAATACCTCTTGCATCCCAAAAAACAGTAGCCATAACCTTGTTCGCCGAAAAAATTGTTTTTGCCTTCTTTGGAGTTGGTTCCCCTGGTCCAATCCACTGTTTAGACTGTTCTTTGGTTTCAGGAGTGTAGTGGTGGACCCACGTTTCGTCAACGGTTACGAATCGACGCAAAAATTCGCTTGGATTACGCTTATACAATGACAAATTTGCGGTAGAAATGTTTTTTCGAATCAATTTTTGGTCGACTGTTAGCAAACGCGGCACCCATCTTGCACAGAGCTTTTCCATATGCAAATGTTGGTGCAAAATATGTTGCACACGTTCATATGACATCTTACAGGTCTCAGCTATCTCACGCACTTTCAATCTGCGGTCTCCCAGCACTATTTGATGAATTTTTTCGATCATATCTGGAGTTGTGACCTCAACGGGGCGTCCTGAGCGAGGCCCATCAGAGGTGCTCACACGACCCTTTTTAAACTCGGAAACCCACTGCTTAACGGTTGAATATGACGGGGAGGATGTCCCCAGTGTTGAGTCCATCTCTTTTTTAATTTCCTTCGGCGTTAACCCCTTCAAATAAAAGTATTTGATGACAGCACGATTTTCCTGCTTTTCCATTTTTACGAAAACCACAGAGGCGTCTTGTTCAGCGTGCTGTCAAACCTACACTAGCAAGGAGATCGGGCTGAAACTATAGCTACAAGCTATCCAAGGATGGTACTATAGAATGTCACCTCAAGGTAGGCCTAGTGGCGTCATCTCTTGGTTAGGCCGGAAACTTATCAATCCACCCTCGTATAACATTTCGTATTTTTGTATTATTGTTATGCGAATACCATCATTACCGTTGAACACGGTAGTCCGTCGTAGTACCTACATGTATAGTACCATATTGTGTCTACTCTAGGTAACCTGGTTACAAAGAAGACACACGAGAAAATAACGGTAAGAAAAGACAACAACGGGGACCAGGTTATCGTCTTCATCTCATCACTCACGATTGCTCAGTCAGGCAGTCAGTCAGTCAGTGAGGCTAGTCAGTCATTCGTTCCTATGTAACATGCATACGTATAGTAGGTGTTAGTTTTTCGATGACTTGCAGGAACCAGTTTGGTCGACAGTCAGTAATCAAACTATTGCAAACGCGTTCTATGGACGCGATGACGAACAGAAATTTGCATTTAGTTAGGCGTTTAAGACGGTACCGGTACGTAATTTGTAGGTTTGTTGTAGCCACATTACGTGAGCATCGACGTTGATCCGAAAGACTTTTTGTGAAATGGTAATTTCGGGCGAAACACGAAGCGAGGAATGAATTTTAAACAGGTCTAGACGCGCAAGGCAATGTACCTTAAATTCACGCAAAATAATAATTACCTAATGAAAACGAGTTTTTTAGAGCTTTGTTGCACAAAAGTTTTAGACAACATTCAGGTACAGTTTATGCCTGTTTTACTGAAAAAGTAAGAACGAGAATTTTTAACGCTGATAGACCAAACAAAGTCACGTTTTTAGTATTTTTATGTTTCATTCATGTTAATACTGTAATGTTC